CCCTTCCTCCCCCTCCCTCTCAGATTCCCACTCTAAATTTTTACAATGATCTATTTTCAGTATACTTAATGATCATATAGTTAACCCTACTCTAAGTAAGAGTTCAACAAATAGTATGAAGAGAAAGAAAACAAAACATCACAAAACACTGTTCCTCAATGGAAGAGACAAGGGCTATAAGCAATCATCAATTCTCAAAATGTCCATTTCATTCCAATATATTACATTTCAGGCACTCTATTAGTTATCTTGGATCAAGGAAAATATATGGTATCTGTATTTTTGAAATATACTTATTTCATTAAGTATAATGGTTTCCTGTTGCAACCATCTTGTTTCAAAAGACAGGATTTTTTTTTTTTTGCTGCTGAATAGTACTCCATAGTGTATATATCCCATAATTTGTTTATTCAGTAAACACTTGATAGACATCTGGGTTGATTCCGTATCTTAGCTACTGTGAATTGTGCTGCAATGAAATGGAGGTACAGATAACTTTCGTATACTGATTTCTTTGGTTTGGGTAAATTCCCAGGAGTGGGATGGCTGGATCATAATGTAGGTCTATATTCAGATTTCCGAGGTATCTCCATACTGTCCTCCACAGTGCTTGCACCAGTTTGCATTTCCACAAATAGTGGACCAGGGTACCTTTTTCCCCACATCCTCATCAGCATTTGTCATTTGTAGATGTATTTTTAGCCTTGCAGATCAAGCCCCATAGTTCCATAGGATTCACAACAAAGTACCATGAACAAGGTAATTTTAAAAAAACAGATCACAGTTCTGTCAGTCAAAGCATGCTCCCTCCAAAGAATTGAATAGAGAATCGTTCCTTGCTCCTTCTAGTTTCTGATGTCTCCAGATATTCTTTGGCTTTTGACTGAATAAGCTGGATTTACTGTATTTACATGGCCATCTGTCCTTTGTCCTCTCCTCTTCTGTCTCTTGTAAAGATACATCACCAGATTTGGGACAACCCAGTTAACTTAGGATGATCAAGATCCTTAGCCTGCCAATTCAGCCCAGTACAGATACCATAGTGAAGAACGTTCCTGCTTTGTGGAATTCACAGCCCAATTGAAAAGACAAATTAGAAACAAGTTATTTCAACAAAATATAATAACATTTTGTAGAAGTAGTTTTTAAGACTCTACAAGAAGGCCAGTGCCGTGGCTCACTAGGCTAATCCTCCACCTTGCGGCGCCGGCACAACGGGTTCTAGTCCTGGTCCGGGCGCCGGATTCTGTCCCGGTTGCCCCTCTTCCAGGCCAGCTCTCTGCTGTGGCCAGGGAGTGCAGTGGAGGATGGCCCAAGTACTTGGGCCCTGCACCCCATGGGAGACCAGGATAAGCACCTGGCTCCTGCCATCGGATCAGCGCGGTGCGCCAGCTGCAGCGCGCTGGCCACGGCGGCCATTGGAGGGTGAACCAACGGCAAAAGGAAGACCTTTCTCTCTGCCTGTCTCTCTCACTGTCCACTCCGCCTGTCAAAAAAAAAAAAGACTCTACAAGAATATCTGGAGACTTAACCAAATTTAAAACACAAAACAAAATGTTTCTCAAATGATGTGATGCTCAAGAAGGAAGAGTGGCTAGGAAGTGATCACTGGGTCATTCAAGGAACTGGGAGGAGGGAAATGCTGAGGTGAAGCTGGAGACTCATGCTAGAGCCATGTGTGGAGAGCTTTGTCATTCCCTTCTCAGCCTTTTGGCTAAGATCAAGTGTTGAGAGCTTTATTAACAAACTGAAAGGCTTTGTAGATTACTCGGGGATCAAGTCAGCGCTATGTGATGGATCAACAGTAGTATGTATGATAAATGACGAAGTTTTCCCTGTTGGGACCAAGAGCTGCAGACCAGGTCCTGAGCATCTCTCTCATTTCCATGTGGAAATTCTTGTTCTTTTGAATATTTTATTTTAGTCTTAATGAACAACATAATAATATAGTAAAATTTCTCTGAACAATTTTAATAAGAATATTTAATTTAAAATTATCACATTACCAATATGAAACTAAAATCCAGTTGTTCTAAGACAACTGATACAGCTGGGTCTTCTAGGTTCTCCTGATAGTAAAACTGGTGGTCTGGCCGGTGCCGTGGCTCACTAGGCTAATCCTCCGCCTGCAGCACTGGTACTCCGTGTTCTAGTCCCATTTGGGGTGCCGATTCTGTCCCAGTTGCTCCTCTTCCAGTCCAGCTCTCTGCTGTGGCCCGGGAGTGCAGTGGAGGATGGCCCAAGTGCTTGGGCCCTGCGCCCGTATAGAAGACCAGGGGGAAGCACCTGGCTCCTGGCTTCGGATCGGCTCAGCGCGACGGCCATGGCAGTCATCTGGGTGGTGAACCAATAGGAGGAAGACCTTTCTCTCTGTCTCTCTCACTGTCTAACTCTGCTTGTCAAAAAAAAAAAAAAACTGGTGGTTTAACATACTGGCATAGCATAGGCTGGGAGACAGGCAAAGGAAAGTTGGGTTAGCAACTTTCTTGTTTACATGTGTGACCTTAGGCAAGTAACACAACCACTTAAATTAGGAATCATAATGGTACTCCCTATCAAGACCATTGTAAAGAAATAAATTTAATAACGAATTGGAAGCTGTGTACATTGTGCCATACACATAGCTAAGCTACTGTTAAATACATAATGATTGTAGCTGATAAAGCTAATCATGTGCTTTATGTTTCTATAATGACACCAGCTCATTATTCATAGCATTTTACTCCCAGCAAAATACTGTGTCTCATTAAATATTATTTTCAAATGGCTTCCATATTTGTGTATTTTATTCTCCACAGAAAAGTATTTGGGATTCCTAATATAGAGGCTTAATAAACAATTTTACAGGCATATACATCTTTAAAATGTCACAACTTAATATACTGTTATCCAGTTAAAATCATAAAGTTCACAAATCAGTAATCACAAATATGCAAGAGAAGAAATATCAGTAAAGTTGTCATTTTACTAAGTATTTATTTACATTTTATTTAATCTGATTATCAAGAAGCACCCAATTATATCTTTTCCTCCATTTGTACTTTGAATATATTGTCTCAATAAATTGCTAACTACATGACTACTGTGAAAATATATGTTCCACACTCATAACTCTTGAACTACATATTCTACAAATACAACAGTTACCAAGTAAATATTGTTTTCTTTATAAATTCCATCTTTATCATCAAAAAGTTAATGTTGTTTTCCATAGTATCTATTTCTTACAGTTTGTTGTTCAATAATTTTCAACAAGAAAATGAGACATTTTAAAGCATAACATTAATTTTCATATCAGTACTATTTTGGAGATCAGGAAATCCAGTAAAGACCAAATAAAAATCTTCTGTATATCATTTGTTGGATAAAATGCAGCTATTTAACTTGTCTCTGCACAGATTATGAGCTGAAACTTGGCACTTTAATAGATTGCCTAAAAATATCTTGATTGAATCTTAGTGACTGAAATCTAATTCCAAGGTTTAATAAATTTCTCTTGCTGAAAGCTGAATATAAGTGACTTTTGTTTTTATTTACATTTCCATTTCTTGAAGAGCATCGTAAATGCTGTGACTGGTTTCTTACTGACTGCACAGTAGCATTTCAGGTCAATGTATTCTCCAGTAAGATGACATCTGGTAAGGATGCAATCACCATGAGTATATTGGCACATAATCTACTGCATACTTCATTCTCAAAAAAATCTACTTCCGTGGAAACCTTTGAGTATTCCAGTTTAATAAATTATTATTATGAGAATTATGGGCTTGCTTTACAGTTACATACTTTGATTCAATTTGGCCCCTATAACTGAAGAGATTAATGGATATTTATTTATAGTGATTAAAATAAAAAAAAAAAACAAGATTTATTCAAGTTAAGGGATACTAACGGGATTAATTGATGTAATATTTTAGAATATTGATGATTAACTGAATTATTACTCTAAGTTTCAGCATAAGAAAAAGAAATGAAAGAAAAATCCAGAAGCCTAAATTGTGGTTATAGCTCTCTGAGAGCTTTGGCGAGTTCCATAATTTGTTTGTGCTTTAATTTCCTTACTTCTATTAGTAAGCAAGTGCCCATCCCTTCTAATAAAAATAATGCTCAATTATATTTTCAATAATGCAGAATATGAAAAATGCTAAAGATTCAATCGAACTAATATTTTTTAAAAGATTCCACGAATCTTTTTTAAAAATTGAAGCTTGCAGCCCAGGCATTTTATAGATTGAATTTTGTCAATGAAAGAAGAATTATGTTGTTACTATATGTTATCTGGTCTTTTCTTTAAAGAAAGAAAGCTTTAAATGTCAGTTTTCCTATTACTGACAAACATCTTACCACCTACTATGTATACCCTTGGGCTGTCAAGGTGGGAATTTATAACTTTAATATTTGAACTAAGATCTATGAAATACAAAGAAGGTCACTCTCAAAAGGAATTACTAAATAGTCTTTGCATTCTGTGGACACAGACATCAAAACGCATGTAACGCATGGGTTTTCGGTCAGTTTTAAATTGGAAAAATATGAACAAGTATACATATCAGACAGAATCCTTTAGTCTGCCTGCTGATTTAATTTTGCAACACATACTTAATCTTAAAATGTGAGGTACTAGGAATGCATCGAGTTTATTGATATTTGTCAGAAAGAAGAAAGATTTCTGTTGTGGGTTACAACCTCAGCTGTGCAGCCTTAGGCAAAGCTCATTTATTTTAGGTTTGCATCCTGTATATCAAAATCTGTAGCAAAGGCCAAATATGTTAAGTTTCTTTGGTATCCACTACTATATTTTCAAGTATAAGAAGTCACCTTTAAAGTTCATAGAAAATACAATTTAAAAATGTTTTTATCATGCAAAAACTGTGAAAACCATGCATATTCTTTCATGATACAGATGCCTATGATCTTTTTGAAGACTCCTCATTACTAAGTTGTAGCATAATTTTGATAGTGCAATGACCAGGTTGATTCTAATATTGGATCTGTTTCAGCTTCTGACATGGCAGCAGAACAAGGGCAGATTCTCGTGATAGCCACAGCAGCTGTTGGGGGATTCACTCTTCTGGTCATCCTCACTTTGTTCTTCTTAATAACTGGAAGGTAACTGAAGCATACCAGTTTATTGCTGACATTTGAGAATAACCACAAATTTTATGCACCATGTATCCAAATATTTTTTCACTGTAACAAAACGCACTTAATAAAGACAGGGAACCTGGCATATTCTGCTTTGATAGTGAATTTTATATGACAACATAAACACTATCATTAGTTCCCCATATCAACAGATCCCCCTTTGTAGATACATTCAAAGACTGGATAGAAGTAGTTTGAAAGCTGTGCAGGATAAGTTCATTTTCAATAACCAAATTGTAAATTTTCTCTTTAGTATAATTAATTATACCTTGCAGATTTTTTTTCTTGGAAAATATATGATTCAGTGGAGAGACAGTTTATATAAAAACTCATAAATGTATTGTCATAGAAATGTGCTGTTTTAATCAATAAATGCTGAAACTATGCATACATCACTTGATTTTTTTAAGATCAGCATTTCTTCACCTTAGAATAATATGGATGAAAAATTTAAGTAGTAATAAATTTAACATGTAAAAGACCTAAACTGAAACCTGAGTAGCTTCAATGTTCTTCACACATCTAAACCTTAGTTTTTTATTTTTGCATACATTTGTAATAACAATACAATATAAAACCATCTATTTATTCTTAAATATACTATATGCAGTGATTAACATGAGCCAGGTACTGGCAATACAGAAATGTAAATGAAGTTAATATGTATGAAATTATTAAAAAGAATGTGTTATTTCTTTTTTAACCATTTATATTTGTCCACAACTTTTGTCAGACATCACAAATATCTACAGATAATTCCTACAAGGGGAAAAGTATTCTTTCTAGATAACAGAGGCACACAAGACCTCAAGAGTTTTCTTGATAAGCTGAGGCACACGTATTTTGCAAAATAGGAATGTCATGACTTAAAACTGCAGTAAGAACACCATCCATGCTGTCTTCAGCTGAAATACAATAATCCTACCAGAAAACCTGATCTCTGATAAGGAGCAAAAGGCACAATAGTTCAGTGAACTATGAGATAAAAGCCTTCAGGCACAGTAGTTCAGTGAACTATACATACCCTTTGTTCTACTTTTTTTTAATCTCTGCCTAGATAGTTATATTTATTCAAATTCATTTATAAATTACATGGGATGGTCATATATGAAATTATTATCTACAATTTTGATAGTTCACCAAAAGTTATAGATCAATAAATTTACAAGTACTTGAATGGCACTTAGTCAAGTCTGAGTCCTTGAGAAAATGCAACTGCTTTGGGAAGAGTGTAGCAGATTATCACAAATTTCCTTATACAGAACTTACCAAGGAAAATGAAATTTTAATTTGGTTGAATTGAAATGGTAACTTTGTTACTAAATTAATTTATAGGAGACACATTTACTCCTATGATTCTTAAAAGTTCCATGATTATAAACAGACACAGTAATAATACTCTTGGAATTATAGGAGAAAATCTAAGAGTCTGGTTCGGGGAGGGGGATTAATTGATAGAATGATACTAACTATAGTAACAAAAACAACATAGACATGAAAGAAATGCAGGAAATTATGATAAATCAACCCTAATAAAAGAGCTGGTTGTGGGCACACTCTGCTGCCAGCATCAGTTGCTATTGCCCAGCCTTATCTGAGTTTCTCCCTGACTTCCAGAGCTCACCTCTAGTAGCTCTGTGCCACCATCTCAGCGCTGATACAACACACGGTTTATAGCTGAGAGAGAGAAAAAAAAAATGAAGACTGTGTAATTAACCTTTAGATGGAAGACAAAATGTTCGAGTTTACAGTCTACAAGTAACAAATACCACCTACAAAGACCTTAATGACTAGCAGGGATCAACTGGTTATGAAAACACAACCTAAAACCTAAACTCTCTGGTCCAGTGTTAAGTTTCCTTGTTGAAATGAGGTCACAATTCTTCCAAACCTATCCAGGACTCTTTTGCAAAGAGAGGGATTAGACGAAAACAACAAAGAAAGAAAATTTATTTAAGTGGATAAAAGTAGAACTTTTAGGTAGTAAAAAGTGGAATTCATAGAAACAAAAAATAGTATTTTTTGTGTAAAGTCACAATGTCATTTCAATTTCATTGAAAAAATCAAGTTACCAATACTTTGTTTTGTTACATGTTCAGCAATCTTATTAGGAAGATATTGTACAGAACAGGCCCTACAATATATTCATTGCCCTCTGTAATATAAATGCTGACAGTGCATTGTGAACTCAGGAACACTGATATATTGCTAATTCTGTATTTATCATGAAGTTGCACAGAGTTTAAAGTCAATTTCTCTGGAGCACAGGAAGTTTATTCTGCAATTAAAGTGCAATGCATCCTATAAGAAGATCAGAATTTCAAAGATACAAAATATGTCACATTAACTAAACTGTGATAATTGAGATAAGGATTAATTTTGATTCAGAAATACTTCTATACTTCATTTCGAAATTTCCTTTGGAGAAGTTTGGGATACTTTCTTAAGGATAATTTCTTGTAACATCAGCGTCATAATTATTGCCAATAGAAAAATATTCATCATGAAATTGAAATACTCAATGAAAATTGAAATTAAATGTTATTTGACTTAATAATAGTTTAACATATGACAAAACTGGATGCAGCTTATTAGTTTTATTTATATGCATATTGAGAAGAATATGAGTTAAGACCTTATTTGCTCAGAGTATTTCAGTAAACAATGATTTAAAAAGCACACACACATGGGAAACCATTTCATAAGACATCAGAAAACATTGCCTCAACACATAAATATGCCAACCTTAAAAGAAAACATTTCAATCTTTGCAGGCTAAATAAATTTGGCCTAATAAACTTGAGAGATGAGCTTGGATGTTATCTTTATGTGGAATTCTTAGAGCAGAATATGAATACCACTTAAAAATAATTTAATTTTGAAGAAAAATATATGCTAAATTATTTCCAGCTCTCAATTTCTGTGTTTGACATTTTATATGGCATCAGAATCTGATTTAATATCCTACACAATGGAGAGAACAATTTCATTTACATAAGATTTTTTTTAAGCACTGTGATGGTGAAGCATTCATTTGAAGTTATTCTATGAGAACTGTAAAATATTTCTGAATCAATACTGAATTTACCATAAAATTTAAGGCAAAACCCACATTGAAAGATTGCATTGAGTACCACAGATGTATCTTAGCAGTTTGATGAACTATCAGATCCTCTGGATGTTGATGGATTTGTTCATGTTCGAGAAGTCATAGGCGCATGGTTATCTTAGAACATGCCTCCACCAGATTTCAAACATTTAAGGAGGATACCATCATTGAAAATGGAAGATATTTGTCTAAGTTTCTGAGATTCTGATTCAAAAGCATTTTTTCATTTTGACTTTGAATTTTTTTTACCAACTCTAGTATTAGAAGTGCAATAAGAAAAAAAGTCATGTTTATTGCTGATTATAAAATATTTTCTGAGTCCTATATTTTATATCAGTCTACAAGAAATCTTCTATGATATATTTTCACATGTTACAAAGATATTCTTAAAAGTTGTCTTTATGACAAGAATTTTGTCTATGGATAATACATATTTTAATTGGTGTTGATTATTATTCTGCGCAATTCTTATAAATTTCTGTTTACCTTTTTCAAAGGTGCCAATGGTACATAAAAGCCAAAATGAAGTCAGAAGAGAAGAGAAGAAACCAGCTACAGAATGGGCATTGTAAGTAATGCATTGAATGCCTTCCATTATCTTCTATTGTTCTGGCGCTTTAAGAATTCTTCTTAAACTTGTATCCATTGGGTTGAAAAAGAGAAAAAAATCACTTCCAACTTTTCAGCATTAAGGCTTTTCATCTGTTTTCTAGAAATCTGGAAATTGCACCTGCTTCTCATTAAATGACGTTACCTTTTTCCCAATTCTGCTTTTTGAAAAACAGAACAGACTGAATTTGCTAAATATACAAGTTTATAACTGATGATACAGGTATCTACCACTCACAATGGCTCCAGGACATGACTCAGATATTATTTACTAGAGCAATAGAAATATTAAGGAATATTTATTCCTTCATTTAAAGATACAACAAATCAATTTACAATTCATTAACACTACAAAAGAGTATCAGCTCTTTAACTCTTAGAATATGTATGAAATCCTTGGGATGACTGCAAGGTTATATTCATTTGATGGATCTCTCCCCAAGCAGGCTGTAATTACTACTATAGTTAGTTTGATAATTGCAACTCTCTCCTCCCCATGCCCACCACTACCTCCACCTACAAACTGCAAAGTATTTTGTCAATACGGTTTCTCTATCACAAGACACTGAATTAACAAGAATGGGATGCTCTCTAATTAACTGTGGTATAAAGATAATATGTACAGCAACGTGTTTGACTATTTAAATCCATCCTTTATTTCAAATTGAGCAAAAGAAATAAAGGACTTTTCAATTTGTATCACCCTCCAAGGGGGTAAAAAAAGGATTTAAGAAAGGCTATTATTAATTGAAAGTATGTTTTGACATTATTTCTAAGACTCACAAGGTTTCCTAGAAATTGGTGAAAGGATCGTCTACATTAGAGTCTTCCAACCTCACTCTCCAAGGTTCTGACTCAGATCCAGGTAGGATTCAGCATAATTCACTTTCAGCAAACTCTCCCAGATTGTCCTTTTGTACAGTAAATTCAAGTCTCACTGCACTGGCAGAGCTGAGAGATACAACACCTGGCATGGGATGACCTGAAAATACCTCAAACACATTTCAGAAATCTGTGTCCAGACACCTGGACAGATGACTTATGCTGGGCAATCTTAAGATTCACAGCAGGGCATTGAGTATTGAGATGCAGAGGAAAAAAATGTGCTCTTGAGGTATTTATTATCCCTTTTTCCAAGTAGCAGTTTAGCATAAACTAGACCAGATGGGCTCAGCAAGAAGCAATGAAAATAACTGGAGGCAGCCAAGGAAACAGAACATAGATAACAAACTTATGTTTAAGAAGACAGGGATAAGTTTAAATTAGTAACCAAATATTTAAAGTAGGAACTCAAATCTTATACTACACATATTATGTTTACAAGAAAAAAGTAATATTAACTAATTAATTTATTCTGTAGAAATGCATATCACCTTAAATAAGGGGCTTAAGGTTAAAATCATATATTAGTTAATAAATGATACTTGTTACCTGTGCCTAAAGTAACAAGATTATATATCCAGTATATTGCTACGAATACTAGGAGTTTACAGAACTCAGTCTGAAATCATAAATCCTACTGAAGTTATCAAATATAAATGGAATGCAAAGTAATTATCTGTTACCCTTTTTCCATCCTAAACATTGGAAAGTCTAGAAAAACAACATTTCAGGATCAGCATTAGGTACATATAAACCAAAAATAAGCTTTTCTGGTGCTATTTTGAGAAATACTAATTTTCTCATGGTTGCATATCTAGCACAAAGAAGACAGTAAATTAATAAAAGAAGGTAGTAGGATAGAAGAACTAATGAGGCAAATTATTAGTAGTAATGAGCATTTCATCACTTCATCTAAACTCACTACATTGTCTTTTTTTTCTTTAAAATTTTCTTAGGGCCAGCATCGTGGCACAGCAGGTTAAGCCGCTGCCTATGACACTGGTATCACATATGAGTGCCAGTTTGAGTCCTGGCTGCTCGCTTTCCAATCCAGCTCCCTGTTACTACATCTGGGAAGGCAACAAAAGATGGTCTAAGTCCTTGTTCCCCTGCTATTGATGTAGGAGACAAGAGTGGAGCTCCTGGATCCTGGTTTCAGCCTGGTGCAGCCCCAACTGTAACAGTTATTTAGGGAGTGAACCGTGTGTGTGTGTGTGTGTGTGTGTGTGTATCTGTGTCTGTGCCTTTATGTCTCTTCTTTCTCTCTCTCTCTCTCTCTCTCTCTCTCTCTCTCTTTCTCTGTCTCACTCTGGCTTTCAAATAAATAAATAAATAAATCTTTTAAAACAAGATGTTATTGTAAGAGTATGTTTCTGACAAATCCTGGACAATACTTAACTCTGGATATTATATGGCTTTCAGAATCTAAGAAGCAGCAAAACCAAATATCATCTACTCTGCCACAAATGTACCACTGGTCTTTTTTAATCCCTAATAACCCATATTTAGTAAAGCCTATTATATGCTTATTATCCATAAAATCATATCATAACATATATGGTAAGATACATAAGAAATCATCTCCTGGTCTCCAGGAGCTATCAGTCTAAAGTAGAAAACAGAAATCAATGAACAAAATAAAGAGATATTCAAAGGCAGTCTGTAACTTCTCCCTATTCTCACAAAAAAACATGCAACCATGAATTCATGCTTTCCAGTCACACCTGTCCAACATCTCAACTGCCTGTGGTCTATGAGCACTGACCCTGCCAGACAGAGTCCCAGCTGCAAGACCAATGACCACATTCTAGCCTTTGATTCCAGTCCTTCCCATCACGACAGACATGTCGGTCCTATAAGGTGCTGTGTGCTGTTTAGCCATGGAATCAACTATCTCAACATAGAAACGGGCTGTTTATATAGTGTCCTTCCCAGTCACTAAGCCATGGAGTCTGCTCTTTACTGCTTAAAACTTTCTGGAAAAGGAAAGATCACAGAACTGGAAAATGATTGCAGAAAATCCTGGTACCTACAGTAAAAGTCCAGGAGAGGCTTTAAGGGGCTTGTTTAGAGGAAAGTCTATGCCTCATTCTCCTTTGTCCTAAGATAGATTTGGTGTGAAATGTATGGGTCTTTTACTGGATGAATGAGATGAATAAACTTTCTACAGAAATGTAAAAATGTGTTTTCTGGAACTTGTTAACTCATCCTCTGTGAAATCACCAGGGCATTTTAGATTAACACTTCTGTAAATAAATGTTGATGCCAACTAGTGAAATTTTTAATGGGGGAAGAAGAGGGAAGAGAGAGAATTTAGTGATTTCCAAGACTGGTTACTTTGGTATATCACTCTGTGAAGTTTTTTTAAAATTTATTTATTTGTTTGAAGGCCAGAGTTACAGAGGTAGTGGGGAGAGGGGCAGAGAAATCTTTCATCATCTGATTCACTCCTTAGATAGCTGCAATAGCCAGAGCTGGGGCAGGCTGAAGCCAGGAGCTTCTTCCAGGTCTCCCATGTGGGTAACTGGGGCCCAAGCACTTGGGCCAGCATCTGCTACTTTTCCCAGGCCATTAGCAGGGAGCTGAGTAAGCAGTGGAACACTCAGGACACAACGGGTTCCCACATGGGATGTGGGTGTTGCAGGTGGCAACTTTACCTGCTATGCCACAATGCTGGCCCGTGTCACTCTGCATTTTCAATATTTACAAGAATTAAGACTACTAAAATACTCTTCATAAGTGAATCCATTTTTTGTTTGTTCATTTCAGTACGCTTCCCAGGAGTTAAAACTTATATCGACCCTGATACATATGAAGACCCATCCCTAGCAGTTCATGAATTTGCAAAAGAGATTGATCCTTCAAGAATTCGCATCGAGAGAGTCATTGGAGCAGGTAAATGTCAAATCTATGCTTTTGAGCACATAAGTCCTTAATGCTTATAACTGGTTTATCAACATAATATTTTATATCTCAATAGTTTTAGTCATTGGAATTTTGAGATGAAAAGGAAAATTATATTTATGTGTCATTTAAAAGTAGTAATTGCCCATGTGTAGTTCTCACACAGTGAGAACATTTATAAAAGTTATTTTTAGCATCCTATTCTTTTCATTCATAATGAAGACAAATCACAAAAAAAAACTAGAGTGCTTCAGAAATTTATTTTGAAAATGCAGTTTTTCATAAGGTTATTATAGATTTACTCAAGCCCCAACATCTATGGGCATATACTGTAATTAGTATTCATAATGATGACCTTGAGGCTCTGTAAGACCCAGGAATGTTCTGAGAATCATTGAAGATACAATTTGGTTCAAAATAGCTTCATAACACTTTAATGCAAATTAGTAATTCTTCCTATGTAGAATTTTCTGATATTCAGAATCTTTCATTGTACTTTGGGATAAATAAAAATTTATTATTAAACAACCTATAAGGATTTGTACTGCTATTAGTTGGGAAAAAGGCTAAGCTGCTATTAACAAAGAGATTCTAGAAAAAAAAAATTACCTTTCTTTTAAGTCCTTGACCCAAGGCAAGTAGTCCGTGCGGGCAGAGGAGCTGTCACTCAGGAGGTCTTAATGAAGATCCACATTGTTCTACTCTTCTTTCTACCTTCGCCTAGTATCCTTGTCTTTTGGAAAGGTCAAAACTAGGAATTTGCACTTCAGCCTTCCAGTCTGTGAGAAGGAATAGGAAAGAGTTCATTGCCTTTGCCTTTGTCTTTAAGGAGAATACCTGAATATTCCAAACATACATATGCACATCTCAAGGATTATCTACATGTCAGTGGAGAAGGTAATGTTCCCCATCCTACCCCCAAACTGAGAGGGAAACCTGAAACTGAAGAATGAACAGGGAAGCTGCCTATGCAAACAGGGCTGTATCAGGGGAGCTTACACACAGGATTCCAAACCAGATAGATGGATAATCTGGTTAGAAGCTGTAGCAAGATTTTTCTGCTCAGAGCAGCAGATGAGGGGAAGATTTTGTACATTTGCAAATCTACTAGGAGGATGAGTTAAGAGCTTGTTTTACAGCATTTCTTCATGGTTTCTTAAGGAGCTAGCCCTTCAGGTATCTTGCTGGTTTTCTTGAATTTGTCAGGAATACTTGTGGATAGCACTTAAGCTTTAGGACCTGGGTGTGAAGGCAGCTAGATTAGAAGGTGGTGGTTGTACTTTTCAGAAAGAGGGACCAATCAAAATAGAGGGGTGGGACTCAAGATGGCATTCCTATGGTGTTTTATTTATTTATTTATTTATCTAAGAGGTAGAGTCACAGTATGGAGGGAGAGACAGAGAGGTCTTCCCCATGAAGGACAGGCTGCATAATATTCAGGGCCCTGTGCTAAAAGAAAGTGTAAGTTGCTTGTTTAAAAAGTTAACAACTTGAAGATTGTGACAACGGAACATTAAATTGACCTCATGGCTTGTCTAAACTCAAGACTCTACACTAGTGCACAGATCATGTGTCCATGAAGCTAGCAGTGTTTCCCAGGTACACAGAGAACTAGCCCTACCCCAAGAATTCCAGGGACCTGTGGGGAATCCTTCCTGATTCCTCTCTGTTCCCTATGCACAGCGATCATCTCATCTACTCTCAACCATGGAGGTCTCCCTCTGAAATATGATACAAGGGTCTTCTATACTTCATTTTAATGCTCTCAGCCAAAGAGGTTGACTTATCAGAAAGATAAGGACCTGGAATCGAACCAGATTCTCTATCCTCTTCTGCTGAACAAAAAGCACATCAACAATCATAACTGAAAAGAGTGGTTGTGCTGTATTTATTGAGTTTTGTAGTTCCTTTGCTTAAGACAGCAGAGCAATAGAGAAGAGGGGAGGCTGAATAAATTCCATGTGTACTGTGCTTGGATTTCTTCTGGCCCCAGAGAGAAAGAAGGGATATATTCTTTTATAGTGCATTGTTCAATAATCACACAGAAAGAAGCATTTCTATGGCAGTTATGTGTGCATAACTTTAATACTAATGTCTGAAGTCATAATGTTAAAAAATAAAATCAGGCATCTAATGAAGGATAAATGTAAAGAAATTAAGTTTACTTTAGTTTTTGGGTTTTTCAACCAAAATATAAATCTTTCCTTTAAAAAGTATAAAGATACTGCCAAACCAACAATAACTTCTGAAGAGATTATTTTAATATCATTTCCACCTGTTCTTCCAGAATTCTGATTAGTCATAGTGAGATTTCTTTTCATTTGTCAAAAGTAGACTATGTACATCTTGTACAGTAATCAGACCTATACATTTTTTATATTTATTCATCATTGACTATTTCATCTTCCAGACAGCATGCTAACAGTTCCTTTACTGTTCATCTTCAGAAAAAATCATGAAAAGTGCTGTGAGACAGGTTTTTTGGTTTTTTTGTTTTTTTTTGACAGGCAGAGTTAGACAGTGAGAGAGAGAGAGAGACAGAGAGAAAGGTCTTCCTTTTCCGTTGGTTCACCCCCAAACGGCCAGCGTGCTATGCCGATCTGAAGCCAGGAGCCAGGTGCTTCTCCTGGTCTCCCATGCGGGTGCAGGGCCCAAGCACTTGGGCCATCCTCCACTGCCTTCTCAGACCACAGCAGATAACTTTCCTCTCTTCATGCTTGTGCCAGTATTGCTCTATTAATTAAATCCTTTAAGTCATATTTCTAAAATTCTGTTTGCATATGGAAAATCTGGTAGATGTGTAGACATTTCCCACAGAACCAGCATAGAAAAAACATTTTCAGAAAATTATAGAAGAATTAATAGTTATGTAACATCTATTACTTATTTGCATGATTGGTTACTTGCCCTATTTTATATTCTGAATGGTTTTATTAGGTTATTTTATATCTTCCCTCCAACTCCCACCTATTGATTGTTTTTTCTCAAACTCCATTTCCTCATCATCTGTGTGCATCAGAAAGTCCTCTTGGAAACAAATGTAAATAAACGACTCAAGTGTCAATGTAGATGCAGGACTGGGGTTAGATGGGCTCGGGGAGATGGAAGAACCCACATACAAGGTGTGACAGTTGTCTGGTGGAAGAATTCAAGCAGGATTAAGCATTGACAGTAGAAATGGAGAAGATTACATAGATTTACAATTCTTTGCTTAGGAAAATTTTATAAAATCTGCTTTTTTTGGCAAAGGAAGAATTAGTAATTTTTCCACATTTCTCATTGGGAGGTACAATATGTAATCATTAAATATTTCTTGAGTGACTGATTAAAAAAAGAACATGAAAATAATATTAACATTTTCAGAAAGATTCAGAGACGTGATACCATTCCTGACCCATGACATTTCTTAAAATATTCAATGAACAATTTCTTAATAGATGGCTAATATTTACTTAAAAAAGACAAATACTAATTAGGCATTTTTGTATGATGTCACTATGTTCATCAAAGATATGTGTATTCAACCTGTCTTCTACAACCTCTGCCTTGGGAAATATTTTGCTAGAAAACTTAATTTATCTGTCTGTATATTCTTAACATTCCTTGTCTTTTACTGTAAATTTCACTGGTTGTTATATGAGTTTTCTAGGACACTTTTTTTGTATATCACTATTCTATTTAATAGTGGCAGCTTATCTTTGTTCATCAATACAGGTCTGAATTTCCATGAAAATGCACATTTCCATTTAAATGAAGTGAGCAGCTCGGTTGCACAGGAGACTATCAAGATCATCTATCTCCTTTGACTTTTTTGCATCATAAAATGAAATACTGTGGGCAGAGGACTGTAAAGCAAAAATTCCCAGGCTAAAAAAAGCCAAGCCAGATTAGGGTAGAATCATTGTTTTACACATATCTTAAGAGATAATGAGAAAATTGGTAAGCTGAATTTTAATCGTGGTCTGGAAAAGGTCACTGAAAGGCTATCCCCTGTACAGGGCAATACTAAGTCTAAACTATTATAACAGAAACTTTACTGGCAGAGTATCTGTAATTTTGAAACATTATTCCATTGGGGAGAAAAAAAATATTCTTGTGTCTCTAAGCCTATAGGGCATCCTTCTTCGATTTGACCTTCCCTATTCCCCTAGTCTCAGTAGAAATGTGTAATATCTGCCTGTCATTCATATTCTATCCCTTTATCTATACAAAACTCATTATTGCCTCCACTATCAGCCTTTTCTTCTCCTGGCTTAGTGTCACCATATATTTTTTTTTTCTCTTACTTGAATAGCCCAGAAAGGTTTAACTGTTGGTTTCTCAGCAATCTCCTACAGGAAAAAGAAACTCAAAAGGACAGCAAAAAGGATATAAAAAGTGAGTGTCAACACAATGATTTATTCAGCCTAAAATTTTTCTGCTGATATTGCCATCTTGTTTGAGGTCACATTTGCCTTGATAAGGCAAATGATAACTTCTTATGCTTCTTCTGATTCCCTTCTCTCACCCAACCCAGCCAGTTTATTTTTCCTACTCTAGTAGCTACTCTCTTTTTAGTTACCATTAAAGAAACTTTTCATCACTTTATTTTTTTGTTTATTTTTACACTGGTATTATGGGAAGGTACTTTTTTTTCATAATATACATGTTCCATGAACTTTCTGAAGACTCTTCATACTTTCTTGCAACATACCAATGAGAAATTTAGGCGGTATTCCAGATGTGGTTTCAGAATTCTACAAGAAATTTAGGTTTATAGCTCTTTTCCTCTGTCCTTATATTAGGTCATCTTCCAAGATGTAGGTTTTGTTCTTATCTGTAAACTTAAAGGATTTATGATAGGAGTTAGATTAATTTTCTTTTTTAATCTTTTTTTTTAATTTATTTTGACAGGCAGAGTGGACAGTGAGAGAGAGAGAGAGAGAAAGGTCTTTCTTTGCCGTTGGTTCACCCTCCAATGGCCGCCGTAGCCGGCGCATCGCGCTGATCTG